CTTTGAGTTTATGACCTGATTGCGAAATACAGCTTGCAACAAAGTCTGTTAGCAAACTCAAAACTGCTAAAAGTACTATTTTTTTCGAGAACATGATCTAATTTTGATATGTTTCTTAGTAAAATATCTATTTATTGAAATACTTATTAAATCAAAATTTCAAAACCGCTCCATATGCAGAAACATTGCTAAGCTTGTACGGAAAATGGAAATGCGATAATTAGATTGAATGGTGGCTAATTTTTCTTTACTAAATTTATTTATTTATCAATAACAGAACATTGACAAATAAAAAATAAAAATCGTGTAATAAAAATCAAACCCGCAAAATAATAATTTGCGTAATTACTGGTGGTAGGACCTCTTGTGAGTCCGCGGGGGTAGGTACCACCACCCGGCCTATTTCTGCCGTAAAGCAGTAATGCGTTTCGGTTTGAAGGGTGGGGCAGCCGTTGTAACTATACTTGAGACCTTAGAACTTATATCTTAAGATGGGTGGCGCATTTACGTTGTAGATGTCTATGGGCTCCAGTAACCGTTTTATACCAGGTGGGCTGTGAGCTCATCCACCCATCCAAGCAATAAATAAATAAAAAGCTAGAGCTTGTTGGTTTCCATTGACATATTTTATATATCGTTTGTGGAATGCTCAGCTACTCCCGTCATTCCCCTTTTATCTTCACGCCTGCGGCCACAACTAGAATTTATCCATGCTACCTAGAAAAACTTCGTTCACCGTTTCCAGAAATATTTTTTCCACTTATCATCCGGTTTTGTGGTACCCTGGGCGTTGGCAGCGTTCATGAACCTAACTCATAAGTAGGCGGGCTGTATGCTCGTTTGTATACAAAGGCAACAAAAATGTATCGACTGAGTTTATGTATTATGAAAGCAACATGTAAGTTTGATTTTGTTCATGCTTTGTTGTGATTAATTTACCCAAACGAACAAAAAGAAGAAATTTATTTCTGTTTAAAATTCATAGATAGACTCACGATCCTTCTTTGGTTGAGTGCGGAGGATAGGAAGAAATGGAGGAACATATTCCTAACAAAAGTGCCCCGTAAAGGTCACGACCCTCAGCACTGAGGAACGCGACGCACAGAGGGATTATATTAACGGTAGGCAGCGGCTTGGTTCTGCCACTGGCATTGCTGAAGTCTATGGGCGACGGTAACCACTCACCATCAAGTAGGCCGTGCGCTCGTCTGCCTACGAAGACAATAAAAAATAACATAAAAATAAATGTATATTTATAAAATTTTTATAAAAAATGATGTTACTTTTTTGTACAATTATTATACCTAGTATTGCCATAAATACTGTTACAAAGGAAAACAAAAAAAAATCTATGGCAAATAACATTTATTATTTTTACAGTGTGTTAGTTTAATACATAAATATAAAATAATTTAAAGTATAAAAAGCTTATTCGAAGTGGTCTCCATTGTCTGCAATACAGTCCTTTAAACGTTGAGGCCAGTTATCAATAGAAGCACGCACTCTTTCCATGGGAAAAATTTTCACTGCCAATCGTACGGATTGTTTTAGGGACTCCAAATTGTCATGGCGTTTAGAGCAAGCCGTACTCTCTAAAACTGACCATAAATCATAATCCAGCGGATTAAGATCGGGACATGGTTCTAGGTGCTATCTTCATCTCCCGAGATAAAATATTTTGCTTTCGAACAGGATTTCTTCGAATCCTTTCCCTTACTGCTTTGACCACCTTTTTCGTACGAACACTACGTGGACGGCCAGATCTTTTTCTGTCACAAACAGAGGAGGTCTGATTGCACCTATTAATAGCCCGGTACACAAACATTTTACTAATAAGCGTATGGAGCGTTTTAAAAATTGCATTTGGCTCCATACCTACTTTGTGTAATGCAATCACAGCGATTCGGTTCTCTTTATCACCCCACTCCATTTTAATATCGCAAAATATTGTACAATGTATTGGCGCCAAAATGAGAAAACCCAATGGGCAATCATATAAAAATGACAGATTCCAAATTCAAACGTAATATTTTGTTTATTTTTAATTGTAACAGTATTTATGGCCAGACTAAGTATATATTTAATTTATAATACGTATATTATGATCCACTCGACACCAGATGAACCGTGTACACGTTCATCCATGTTAAGGATAAAAAGTCTAGATATAATTAAAAAATAGATTCAAGCTAAAGTTCCGAAAAAAACCTAAAAACGCTTAATATTATATGTACCTTAATTTTAATAAAAACAGTTATTATTATAGCGAAAGATTAATGTGCCACATAGAAATTTCTTGTAAGAATATGTTCTATGATGTAATAAAATAAACACAGCTTACATTCTCTATTCCAAAACCTAAATGAAGAAAAATGTTTTTCAATTGAAAAAAAAAGATAGCTGTAAAAATAAGATATCAATTTGCATAACAAAGCTTTGTAATAGATACGCCTTTATTTTTGTTTCGTTTGAAAGGACCTTTCAGCTGACTTTTAATTGTGCTTTTCCTCATTTAAATTGGTAAAGCAGTTGTTATTTTGAGTTAAAATTAAGAGTCATATTCTATTATTGTACAACAGCCTTGGCACTCGAGTGTTTTATTAACAAACAGTTTCAGTGAAGGTTCGTTCTGAAATCACTTTTCGTTTGGTTTTAAAAATAGAATAAAACTCTCTTTTTTGTTTTTCTTTTCGAAAGAAATGGTTTAATTAATTATTCATAAAGGATTTCCAACGATTCCGACCGAAATTATGAATACATGTATATCAAATGTATTATGAAATCCACATTTCGGGAGGCTGCTTTTATCCTGTGATAACATTAGATGGCGTCTTTTTTTTTTCTAATGAGTACGCTGTCAAACAAATTGGTGGCTAACATGCAGCCATTACGCTTTAACAATGTCAATTTTACTCAGGTTATCAATTATGTGAAACAGTGAACGCGTTTACGTAGGTATGAGCTGGAATGATTCAATATGTAGGGCGATTTACAGTCTCGAATGATCTGTGGTCTGAAATATACAACACCAAGTGCATACGTGCATACGTTACACTGCGCTTATGTTTTCTTCCCCCTTTCCTTCGGACGGAACTAAAGAGCAGCATTATTAGCCTGTCTCTTACGATCTTTCTACCAATTTTAAGAGATAGTCTACGATCTCATCATCATTTTTATTTATTATTCATAATTTTTATACAACATAATTTTTATTAGTTGAGCTAAGGTATAATTTAGTTTTAAGAATTCTCAACATTCGTGAATCTAAACTCATGAACTCATTGTCAGTCGATTTCTATTTCTATCAAATTGGTTATACTGTACTAATCTTAATAAGAACATAAGTTTTCGATTCTCTTCTTTTCGACACTCCATGATTCATACATCTTGTCTTTGGGACGATACTTATACATCTGATATATATTCGTAACCTACACTGTAACCTGTTATAGTCTAGTAAATTGCCCGTTAAAAGTGGTAGTCCATAAATTACAATGATATCGGTTTTTCTTTTCAAAGAAATCGTTCGATAAATATATCTAGGGTGGACGCCGTCACGGTATTGGATAAATGTGTGCCCGTGTCATACTATTAACACGATTTGGTCGATGGTCTTATAGGAAAATTGATCGCTTTCCATGACTTCAACAGCATAAAACGTTTGACGGTCACAATAAAGTTCCATTCGTATTCCTGAACGTGGTTTAAAAATATACCAAGTGAATATTTCTTGCAAGTGATAGTCTAAATTACTATAAGTGGGTTCGTGTTAATTTTTAAATTCAGTTTTTTTTTATTGCTCTTGTAGGCAGACGAGCATAAGGCCCACCTGATGATGAGTAGTTACCGTCGCCCATGGACTTCAGCAATGCCAGGGGCAAAGCCAAGCCGCTGCCTACCGCTTAATACTCTCCACAAGCCTCGTTTGAAGAAGAACATGTCATAGCGCTCGGGAAACACCGTGGAGGGGAGAGCTCATTCCATAGCCGGATGGTACGTGGCAAAAAAGACCTCTGGAAACGCACTGTGGATGACCGCAGTGGCTCCAGGTAGTATGGATGAACTCTACTCCGGTGGCGGGCGGTGCGATGGTAAAAACGAGATGCCGGTATCATCTTGAACAATTCCTCAGAGCACTCCCCATGGAACATACGGTACAAAATACAGAGGAAACCGAAGTCCCTCCCTCCCTGAAGTTTAATTGCTTCATTTTATAGTTTCAATTTAAGAAGTTAAATGACTGCCTATCCGTCTCCGTATAATAATCGAATTTTATGACAAGATACTATTATTATTTTTTTGATACATATCTACATGCGTAATCATTCTCTTATGTTCACCCCCCTAGATATTCCCTATTAATAGATTCTTTGCACAATGTTGAATTCTCTTGGCCACTAAATAAAATTATACTCCTATGTTCACTGTTTATGCAGTTAGGTTACCACTCACCATTTTACAGTGATAAATAAATATCGGAATTAAAAACTTGTCCAAATGATCTTTTTTTTTTTTTATTACTTAAATGTGTGGACGAGCTCACAGCCTACCTGGTGTTAAGTAGTTACTGGAGCCCATAGAAATCTACAACGTAAATGCGCCACACACCTTGAGATATAAGTTCTAAGGTCTCAGTAGTCACAACGGCTGCCCCACCCTTCAAACCGAAACGCATTACTGCTTTACGGCAGAAATAGGCGGGGCGGTGGTACCTACCCGTGCGGACTCACAAGAGGTCGTATCACCATCTCTTCTCTAACGGTCCTTAATCATATGTACTTCGGTTATCTAGATTCGGCCAGTAGTTTTTTAAAAGTATAATTACCGCAAAATTCTTTTTTTTGTACACATCGAAGGAGCTAATCTAAATTTTCGTTCAATTGCTAATATCAGTACTAGCTTGAAATCTATCACTATTTTTTAAATATTTTTAAATTGATGTGAAACACGATATAATTTAAATTATTATTTCCAGTATTTAGTACACTGAACATCACTTTCAAGCAATGGCAATAACAAAGAACATTTAAATTGTGATACTATACAATGCGTCCTCGAAGGAAGTCTTTCGTTTATTTGCCCTTGTGCATGTTATTATTAGTCACAAGTTGCCATGGAAACCAGAACGAGGATACGGAGACTTACTTGAGTAAATTTATAGCCGATATTTGGCTAGAAGGAGGTGACATGGTTCGAATAATTTGGAGAGATTGTTCTAAGAAGGTAAAAATATTGGTTTTATCACATTATTAATGCACGCGGTGTCCATTTTTTTCCGATTGTCAATTATATAAGACGTGGGTCTTCTTGACGGTTACGATTTTCTCATTATCAGCATGAGCGGGCGAGCTTTTTTGGTATTAAGTACAGCCTATATGTACATCACAATGTAAATTTTACAGAGTATTGTTGGTCTAACCGTGCTAAGATCAAAAGAGTGTCTCATTTATTTCTGTAGAAAGCTTTTTTTTTAATAATGCAAAACCTTAACTTCAAAGATTCGACAAATGTTTTCACTTAAATACTTCAATATAATTAGTAGGTTAAATACTACTTAGGTATTCGCTAGGTACAACAACGTTTCATTTTGTAATGTTCTAGAATCAGTATCTGACGTATTTGCCGATAGTTGGGGAATACTTTATTCCAAAATAATTTTATTTTTAGCATAATATTATAATAATAGTACTTAATAATTTCAATAATGTTTTTGTGTTAACGAGTCAGGTGTTTTGGTGAAAACTGTAAGCCTGACTTTGAATTAAATGGAATAAATAAATAAAAATAAATAAATCTAAACAAAAGCAGATCTTCTCAATGTGCTTCAGAAATTATTTCGTTTGTGCAAAATAATTTAGTCTCCAAAGACTGTCATGTAATATTCAGTCTATTGAAGTCCGTTCAAGGCTCTCCATCAAAGTATCCATTTTACTCATGTTGATTTCTCGAATAATCCCCTCAATAGACTTTCGGAATCTCGTAATCGGCTTAGCTGACGACGTCCGGGAAATGTTTACATTATAGGCAATTAGGCAACTATTCGTTGTCGTTATCTACTGGAAAAGTATTTCATTACACGCAGTAAGTGCTTTATAATGAAATGATTTTTTTTCGATAGATTAGGCTTTGTGACTTATGTCTTCAGTATTAAACTAAAGGCTTAGTAAGGAATCTTTTTTTGAATAACGCTATAGTTGTATAAATAGTTGAAATCGGTAGCCTCAGTACTGAGGTTTAAGCATTTTTTTTAGAAAGAGAAAGATTATTATTTATGTTACACAAAAAAAGACAATGCGAAACATTAAATATAAAAAAAGACATTTGACGCTCTTACCGCTAAGAGCGATTTCATCCAGACAACCATCAGGGGGACAAGTATCATTTGGAAATTAATTACGCGCGATGTACCTATCAATTGAAATATATTTTATGTATATTATATGTAGGATTGGTAAGAACAAAAACAGTGCGGAACGGAGTGTTAAGATGTGAGTGAGAGGAAACGGAAAAAAAGGGCAAAGAGAATGACAGACAGAATGAGACAGAGAAAAGGAAGATGGCGAACACGGTAAAAAAATGAGCAAGGCGTAATAAAAGTGATAATTAATTTTTAATTATTATTATAACAGAAGGGTTTAGAACAGTGTTACTTTTATTTTATGTGCTGCGATCCCATATTCAACATAATAATAATAATATATAATATATATCTACACACATACATATATAAAAATATTAACAACACACTAATTAACAATTAGTGATAATATAATTATCTGTATAATATAATATAACTATCTGATAACTGTTTAATATTGACAATGTAAAAATAGTGGGCTTTAGAGGGATTTCTCTCTATTTATTTCATTTCTAGTAATTTTACAGCATTACAAAGTTTCAAGTGCTCTCGAACATTGCGAACATTGTCATCATTGAAGTAAATGATGCGCGTTGTCTGGCATGACATGAACACCCCCCCCCCCCCTCCCTAAAGTCGTGATTGTTGAGTACCAAAAGTGATACCAAAATTTATTAAAAGAAAAATGATTTCATTTTACAAAATAACAACCTAATTTATCAAATTGGATTCCACGAACAGAGTTGTAACTTAAAAGTTAGCGATCTTTAGGTTAGAACGCTGTCAGCCTTTGTTGGTAGCAACAGTTGTCAAACTTTTGAAATTGGGGACGACTTCGTTAATGTCATATTATAATTTTTAACTACCCATGAAAAATATATTTTGCGCAGACGGAATCATATTGAAATTCGATAAATTCGTAACATGCAAAACGAATGTGGACTGAAGCAGACAGCCGTTTATTGATAAATCTTAAAAAGCGTAAATTTATTACTTATATTTTGTTATTAATAGAGCTTGTTTCTTTTAATTGATTAAATTTTATTTATTTTATAATTCATTTTTGTTTAGGTCTCACTTGAAAATGAAACATTTATATAAATGTATTATTTTAACTCTGTCCCCTTTTCTAATGGGATAACATGTGGACAGTATAATTTGCCGCAAATTTCTTAGTCAAAAATCATCTGTAACAAAAAATAATGGAGACCTGAACTCATAGTAGCTTAAAGTATAAGATGCCCGATGTACTGATATTGAACGATGCGACTATATCGGTGTTCAAATATTGTAGGCAGATAGCGGTTTATTTTAAGAAATAAGTACTGACTGTTGGTCCACAATAACTTCTACGATCAAGGAATAGTATCGTTTACCTAATAGAATTCAAACTCGCAAAATTGTAATTCGTGTAATTATTGTGTAGTCGAGGTCCATCCTAGAATTTCAAGCTGGGTAGTGGCATTCACGTAGTGATGTCAATGGGCTTCACTAACCACTTAAAACTAGATGTCCTGCAAATTTCTTCACTCGCTCACGCTATAATATTTATATAAAATACATATATATATATTTCGTTAGTTTAAATGTTTTTAAACCAAAGTGTAAAGCAATTGGTAATTGTATTTGCTTGTATATTTTTTAAATCTTTAGTTAATGGAAGTGAAAGACGTTATTGACCACAAGGAGTATTTCCCCAAATTCATGAGGTGCATGAAAAGGAAGACACTCCGCGCTATAGATCGTTCACTAAGCCCCGACGTTGTGCCTATAGCGGAAGGTGTTAGCTTGGTTCGGTTCGAGCTTGTCGATCGTTCGGGAAATATTTTACCGGAAAACGACACTAATAGGTAAGAATTCCTACAAAGTCTTAGAACTTTACGTATATGCTATGAAATATAATTGAAAAACCATAAAATATAGCCCTTTTGAAACGAAATGCTTTTGTACTGTCTGTTATTATTGAAATTGGCATTGAAAACTAAATAATATCCGATCCGAAAACACATAAAGTCAGCGTCGGAACGTTACTTCGATAAGGCTATGCGTCATCATAATCGTCTTATCGTTGCCGCCGCTGACTACTCCCCGAGTCCTGATTACGCAGGAGCCAGTCACCGTCGATGCCCTGGACACGTCCTTACATATCCATCAGATGCAATAACACTTGCATTAGACGCCTTCAGCTCTAACACTAGGAGCCGGCTCAGGAACCCCGGTAACCATACTCGTCGAACTCAGCAAGGGGTTCGTCGTGTAACCTAACCCATGCATTAGCCCGCTGAGTTTCTCGCCGGATCTTCTCAGCGGGTTGCGATTTCGATCCGGTAGTAGATTCATCCGAGAAGCAGTTGTTGGGTCTCCTTTGGATGCGCTCGGGCAGCTGTTAGCAAATCCCACCCCTCCTGACTGAGCTTTTGCTCGACCAACTTTTATATTGTTTATTTTGTTTGGATAAATTCGAAATAAAACGGGCAGAGAGAGGTGCGTCAAACCTGACCCATGCCCCCGAAATGGGTCCCAACGATTCGACTATGAATCTTTCTTCATTGACGCAATTTAAGCCATTTATTATTCAGCCATTTAAAATAATTACTTGGTTTAATTAAAACTACTTTTATAGTTTAATCTCATTAAGACGGTTTTAGTTATTATGTATATACCTAGTCAGGTCATAAATTCTGTCACATGTTTAATGTAAAATAATTGAAACAAATTTATTCATTATGTAACCATTCATATAGCAAAATGAACTTAACAAAACATAGATTCTTATGACACTAAAGTTTATTCAAAATGACCTCCGTGATTTTAAATACAGGCCTTCAATCTGTGCGGCCAGTCGTATATCGCAGCACGAACGAGGTCCATGTCAACATCGGCGGCTGCCTTAATCAAGGATGTCTTGAGTGACTCCAAATTGGGACGAGGCTTTGAGCACGCCTTTTACTCCAAGTGTTGCCATATCTTGTAATCTAACGAATTCAAATCTGGACTGGAGGAGGGCCAGTCTTCGTGCCGGATGAAGTCGATTTCACGCGCCGCCAGCCAGTCTTGTGTGCTCTTCGCTCTATGAGCTGGCGCCGAATCTTGTTGGAATACCCAGTGCCTGTTATTGAACATGGTATGAGAAACAGGTTCCACAAGGTTCGTCAGGACTGTATTTTGATACACAACTGCATTCGTTTTTACACCTTTCTCACAAAAATGTACCTCTGTTAAGCCCCAATAAGAAACTCCCAACCATACCATGAGCGAGGATGGAAAATGACCTCGTTGGACACGCGGAATACGGTTGCTCGCTTCTTCACTACTGTGTGCGTACACCTTATCATTTTGTTTGTTGTAGCTCTCTTCTACGGTAAAAATTTTTTCATCCGAAAAAAGAATTTCCCGATATTTTTTTCCCGCGTACCGCTTCAACAAAGCGCGGCATCTCTTCAGTCTCAGGTCCATTAGACGAGCATTCAAACGATGTCCTGTTTTTCTTCGATATGCCCGAAGCCCTAAGTCTTCATTTAACACCCTTTTCACCTTGGTTCTGCTTAACCCCATCTGAAGGGCCAACAGTTTCTGCTTACGTTTGGGATTTCTTTGAATTCGCGCCTTCACAGCTTTTATTACTGCTGGAGTCCTAACAGACCGAGGGCGACTACTTCTTGACCTGTCATCTACACTAGAGTCTTCATTGTATCGTTTGATGGTACGATAAACGAATCTTTTGGTTATATTCAAAATTTTCAGTATGATAAAAATTTGAATTGGCGCGTAACCGCACCGATGCAACGCAATAACTGCAATACGGTCTTCTTTAAGCGTCCACTCCATATTTAAAAATGAGTAAAATTCTAAAAGTATACATTTTTATTTTCATGAACAATTCAAAATTCGAATTCAATAAACTTTTTTGTGGCCAGCATTCTAAAAGAAAAGTTTTTACTGTGTGACAATACTTATGACCTGACTAGTTATTTTGGTGAGATTAAGTAAAAGTAGTTTTCATTATTTAGATTACTTGCGAAAACCAAAGAAAATATGAATTCTTTGACTTCCTCAGATTTTATTTTATTTTAAGCTGATGTCTAGAAATAGAATCAGAATAAAGAACCCTCTTGTTAGGTCACTAACCGCGAAATAATTCGTCAACGTCACAGTAAAGTGGATGTCGCATAAAAAATTGCGCAATGTGCGCGCTCCAGTTTCGACGATGTGGAAATATTGTTGTTGTAAATAAAGTAATGTTAATTGTTATTTTTCACACATTTTATATGTTTATTTTATAACAACTAATTTAATACTTCAATAAACATTGATGATTTGATAAGATTTCCAACTTAGAATTTCTACAGCAGAAAGTATTCCTTGAATTGTTACGACAGTAAAAGACCGTTTTCTAAGAAAAATGTTCAAAAGAAATTCGACAATGACATGAATTCTTAAATAAATTAAGAATTCTTTAATAGTAAAGTAAATTAAATGCCTTTTGACTGTTTATTAACTCGATGAAAATAAAGTGTCCGACGTGGCGTGAAAAAGGAATGTTAAGCATTCGTATTTTCTTGAGAACATTTTTTTTTGCCTACCTATTTCGCGATGTGTTCTTCATTCGTTATTGACTACTATTATAAATTTTTGCAGTTCATGGACAGAAAAGGAGTTGGAAGAAAATGATTGGCGCACCTTAGCCTTAAAGAGAATGGCAAAAATTTTGCGAACTCATGTCATCAAATTCGATTTTGAAGAGGGAAAATCTGTTGAAAAATGTATGAAGCCAATTTAATTTTATCTAAGCTTGTAATCATGCGAGTAATTACGACATATTTGCCATCTATTTACCCATATTACATATCGGGCTACCCGAAATACTCAATCAAATACGGACAATGTTATTAGGATAATTTGCGAATATAACGTTAGATAACGTCTGGGTAGACATTTAAATCAGAGTATGTTGGCAGTAGAGCGTAACCTGTATATAATTGAAACTTCGATCTCCTGTCGTCTCTAGGCGGGCGCTATTTGCGTTGTGATTGTATAAAAATAAAAGGCGAGCCTCGAGCTTTCCTTTTGTTTCCTTAGATGGGTGGACGAGCTCAGAGCCCAAGTGGTCTTAAGTGGTTACTGGAGCCCATAGACATCTAGAACGTAAATGTGCAACCCATCTTGAGATATAAGTTCTAAGGTCTCAGTATAGTTACAACGGCTTCACGGCAGAAATAGGTGGGGTGGTGGTACCTACCCATGCGTACTCACAAGAGGTCCTACCACCAGTAAGCTGCCTAACTGAAGCTATGCTATGTCGAAGAAGAAATACCTTTCAATCTTTTTAAGTCTTATATTTTTTAACTTAAATTAATTTATAACATACTGAATTTTAAGTTGATTATTTATACTTTATAGTTGAATTTCGCGGGCGTAGACGTCACCACATGATGACCATGATGATGTTCGGCGTGGTCTCCATTGGTATGGTGGTTGTGCCAATGGGATTCCAATTTCTCGCTGTCCTCGGAGGGAAAGCGCTCCTTCTTGCTAAAATGGCACTCATTCTTGCTTCCATACAAGGACTTAAAAAGGTATGCTATTAATGATCGCATTAGCTAATTAGAGCAGAATAATATAATCCTTAACTAAAGTAAATATACATAAAACTCTAAACTAAAATCTAAATGTATTTATAAATAATTGTTTCCATCGTCTTTTGGCATTTGTTATTATTTGATATTAACCAACTAATTACGTATTGAAAATTAACATTCTCTTTTAGGTAGACATAAGTAACGAAGGGTACCATGACAGGGGAAAGGTATGATGGCCTTTCATAACTAAGCTCCGTCTCTGACTTCTGTCCTTTCATGCTAAATTTTATAATCATCTTTAACGAATTAATAAATAATTTTTTAACACGCATTTTAACTTTTACGCACAACTACTAATGTTCAAGAAGATAACCGTTTAATAGATATTCTGTTCCAGGTCGCTGCTAGTCCGCTGAATTACGGTTTCTACCACACGTATCCACCCTACGAACACTTCGAGAAAAGAAGCCGCGATGACTGGCCCCCACCAGCTGTTATGCCCACCACACCGTCGCCTTCAATCATTGCACAGAGTCCCTGGTCGAATCCCGAAAATGGAAACATTAAAGCCGACAGAGTACACATAGCGAAAATTCCTCAAGAAGCCAAGAGCTCAACAAAAGAGGTGCATTGGAAGCCCGAAATACCTAAAGCCGTTAAAAAAGATTCAGAGCCAAGATTGTATCCGGTTTATAACGGACTTGCACATAGCCCCACAGCCGTCTACTCCGCCATAGATGCACCGGCTCCTCTAATAGACTTAACTACGAGACCGGGAGAAGTTCAAGCCGATCTCGCGTTAGATCTGCCGTACAATAACTTTCGCTTTCAAAGTCCCACTCCTGTGGTTTCAGCTTGATGTGTTCGTGCGGTTGTTCAAGGCTCTGTACAACGTTGTTACTGGAATTTATTCTTATTTAGCACAAGTTTTATATCCGAACAGGCACGTTTATTATTCTGTTTATTAGATAAATGAAGTTAAAGTGTCATTTACATAGTGTTATAATAAATCAAAATGAATATTAAAAAAAAGTCTTTCATTTGTCGCCAAGCAATGAAGTTCTGAGATTTTTGTGCGTCATAGACACGATTAAGATTACCTCTATGATATAATCACTGTTTCTTTGTCTAATATAAATTATGGGCGGGTAACCCGATTATTTTTAATATTTTCAAACAAAGATTTCTATCTTCTCAAATAGTAAAACTACACCAATGTGATCATTATTTTTTGAATATAATTTGATCTTTTATATGTTTAAAGATATATTTAGATACATAGATATGAAGCATCCAGATAAATATCAAGATGTGAGAACGAGCCCGCGACTCTCAACCCAGTTAGTCGGGGTACTAGTCTAACCGTTGAGTCAGCCAAAATATGACTTGAAATTTTGTATGGAAAACTTCTAACCGGTCTATTTAGTGACTAGTAACCATAGAACTAGAATCGTTTTCCTTAAAGTATCATACGCTCAGTTTTACTTCATAATAGTCCTTTTCAAAGAATCAAATTCATTTTATGGAGAATCTCTTAAGCCATCTCATAATTTTATGTTTTCTTTTTTAATGAATACTGAAAATGTAAGCACACAATGAAATAAAAACTTAGGTGTAAACAAAAAAATTAGGTGTGATTTTTATAAAATACTATAATAATGTAATGTTTATCCATTTAGTCTATTTACGATTGTATCCAGTAGCGTTTTATTGATATTAATCTAATGGAAAAATATTCTCGTTCGAAGTGGTGGTCATAAAATATGAAAACGTTTTCACTCAAATAAATGTATTTTTTTATTGCCTTAGAAAGCTAAGGACGAGCATCCTGATGACGAGCGGATGGTGAGTCTTCCTGATGATGAGTGGTTACTAAGGCTTATGGAAATCAGCAATCCCGAGCTTATAGCTTAGTCGTTGACTAATTTATTTTAATATTAGTACAACAATATGGGTAGTAGGGACTCAGCTAGATTGATATATGTATTATACTAACATTAATTATATTTGATAAACATTAAGGATTTAAGTTAGAAAGTATTATAAATTGATGACTCAGCACGAACATCACATATAACTTAGGTCGTGACAATTCTACTTTAGACAAAACGGTAATTTCAAGTTCGAGATGTCCCTTGTCTCGAACCAAACATTATCGTCTTAACGAAGGTTAGAATTGCAGATATTATTCGTCTTATCTTTTAATTGAAATGGGCATTACACAGAATCAATCATTAATAATTTGATTTGAACGCCTTAGACAGTTTGATGTACTGCGGCTTAATCACAGTCTGGTAATGCCCAGTTAGTGAGAGAGGAGCAAGATATACAAATCGCAGGCTTATTACGTTCTAGGAATATAAAATACGAGTAAACAAAATGTGATATTTTTAGCTTATTGGCATTTGAAAACTAAATTTGGATATAAATGTTAATAATAATAAAATGTAAATCATAGAACCAAAAACGGATGAAGTAAAATAAAAACTAAACGAATCAACAGAAAGGGACTCTCCACGTTGCAGTGGATATATGAAGATGTAAGCCAAGGAAAGTTGGCATCATGCAGGTGGCCGAAGGAAAAATATATCCAAAATTCCTATACACCATGATAAGAGGATATAGCGTGCCAATTCGATATAATGTGGGATAAGGAAATAAATAAGATTTTTTTTCCTAATCTTGGTGGGTGGACGAGCTCTCGGCCCACCTGGTGTTAAGTGGCTACCGGAGTCCATAGACACTTACGACGTAAATGCCGCCACTCACCTCGAGACATGAGTTCTTAGATCTCAGTTTTTACAGTACAACGGCTGCCCCGAAACGCATTACTACTTCACGGCAGAAATAAACAGGGTGGCGGTACTAACCTGTCCGGATTCACAACACGTTTTAGAATTTAAAGCTAGTTAGTAAAATGGGAGCTTCCACAACTACATATTATAGAAATGCACGCGTTTTTTGTTTTCATACATTTGTGTCTAAGAAGAAATTTTCTAAAAGTTATATTTAATTTAAAATAACGTGTACATAGGAATCGAAATTTTTCAATTGCTCTGATCCAGTGCCCCTTCAAGACAACGCACAACCATACAATGTACAGCATAAAAATCTCGTTAAAACATCTACACATATTTGGAGTTTAGATGACACAGAATATTATAAATGATTTTTGCCTCTGCCAACGTTTTGAGCTTTATCTTAACATAGACACTTTAATAAATCACTGTCAATCAATTTAACACAAGGAATTTTTTCATGTTCTTGCAATAAATAATAAAAAAATCTTAAATTCCTTAGCCAGCGCCAGCATCATTTATAACGTTTTTCTTTTATTAATTTCAACTTTAGTATGGTTTTTGACTAAATCTTATGGTGTGGCGTGGAAATAGCTACACCGTGTGTGAATGATTTGGAAAATGGAATGGATGGAACTTATAGGATGTGGTCCACAGGCGGTAGGGATGTTTTGGCGACTTTTATTTATGTATTTTTTATTGCTCAGATGGGTGGACGAGCTCACAGCCCACCTGGTGTTAAGTGGTTACTGGAGCCCATAGACATCCACAACGTAAATGCGCCACCCACCTTGAGATATGTCTTAAGGTCCCAGGTATAGTTACAAAGGTTGCCCCACCCTTCAAACCGAAACGCATTACTGCTTCACGGTAGAAACAGGCAGGGTGGTGGTACCTACCCGCGCGAATACACAAGAGGTCCTACCACCAGTAATTACGCAAATTATAATTTTGCGGGTTTGATTTTTATTACACGATTTGGAAAAATACAGCCTGAATTATGGAATAAAATACCTCGTATACTAACTACAATAACCATACAGGTAGCTCCCCTGATGTTCTCGAAGTCCTTGTCCTCTCTAGGGAAAGATTTCTCATAATAGTTTGTTAGCGGCGAAGTGCGAAGCGAGCACTTCTCAATATGAATGAAAACTTTGGTAGGATGTGATAGCGGTGCAAAAAGCGGGTATCTTTAACGGGTAATTTAGATTAACTTTGCGTGTTGCGCGGAAAGAAGCAGGAATGTGCGTGAGTTCCAATTTCAAAACAACATTCTTTGGTAAACCATTTTTAAAATTTTTACACTTTCAACCCTTCATTGGATCCCAAAGAGGCGGTTTTATAAGCATGTAAAGTAAAAATTCAAATTATGTTGAAAATAAGAAGGCACTGGAAGCACAAACTGGAGATTCTTACTTTTTTAAAGATTTGAAAAATTATGCGCTTTACCATTTTACAAACTTTTGGTGCAACTTTGGTCTTTCGAAGTTGTGCAGTTTGCTCTGGGTAATGGCTTCCATTTCTCGTTATATGGGTTCTCGTGTTCAGTGCTTAGAGTATGGAGTTGAAAGTAAACCTGGAATTTCTTGAAGACATCTCATTCTTGATGACTTTTATGACATGCCTGGATATTAAACAAACAAGGAAAATGGGTTCAATAACTTTAGAATATTTAAGAGAAAACCTAAATACAAACGTTTTCGTTCTACATAGGTGTAGAAAATAAAAAATAAGACGAACATTTTCCTAATTAATATTAAATACCGGTGACTTTTATTATATTATACAATAATTGGTCCGTATGGACCCAGACATTAATCAGAGCCCACCAAAATACAAAGTTAACATTTTAATGTAATTATTATCTTTTCATCCCGACATCCCCAACAGACAAAAGATAATTAGTGTCGTGGAACGTTCAAGGATCTATGAGTTGGTGGGTATCCGTAGTAATGCAATAATGCCAGACCTCAAATTTCCTACAGATTAATTTAAAAAAAAAGTACAGAATACGTGTATACGAACTACTTTTACGATGGAGGATTTACAAAGTGTAATAATATCATCTCTGCTTATTGCTGTCAAGAACTAATCAATAATAAGTTCAGTGATGAGGAGACAGTAAGCCGTGACTTTTGTGGGCTCTGGTAATAGTTTGAACCACGTGGACTATAGCGTCTATCCGTCTATAGCAGTACGAACAAATCGGCGTATTTTTGTCTCCAGTGAATTACTTGAACGATTTCTTCGTCTCCGTATTCTTTTCCTAACGTGATCCAGAGAAATAGCAAAATGTCTTCGGACTTAGGATTGATATTACTTAAAAATAAAATTTTAAGACGAAATACTTCGAAAAGATTACATTTATTCGCAGTAATCAGAGAAATATACTTAAATCTTACTGGAATACTTCATATTAAAGGACTAAGAAGTTTTGTAGCTTAATTAGGATGTGCGTTTATGTTTAAAAAGATGAATATGAAGTTGTAGATGCTTTAATTTAACATAAATTTACGATAGAGCATACATGTAAGCCGTAGGAGGTTCAGTAATTAAGGATGTTAATAACTTATTTAGCATAAGTTAGATGCTGAGACCGAGTAAAGTAACTTTATAGGTATGAAAAAAAAATGGAAACGTTTATATAAGGAATGTGTACGGGTAGTAAATATAGCATATTGGTGGTAGGGCGTTTAAACTACTATTAGTTGGCACCAACATTCTGCCTATTTCTACCACGAAATAGTTTTTCATTCTTAGAAGAGTGGGACAGTCGTTAAGCAATATAATTGTGCTTTCGGTCTTATATCTATGGACCCATGTTGTGATGTGAATACATAATTATATCAGATTCTTATCGAGTCGTTAATTGAGTTTAAATTTTTTACAAGGTTTATAATGTACTCAAAAAGTAATGAATTTGATGTTTTTTGTAACTAATTATATGTATTTTAAATTTATACTTTGGCTTAACTCCTCACCCACCACCCTCAATCTTAAGTTTCTATAGCCGTACATTTTCTTTGTTGATTTTAGTCATTGGTTCCCAAATTTGTTCATCTCATAGATAGCTTCTCTAAAATTTTTGTGATTTAGTGAGAACCACGTTTTCAAAAACATAATGAAACTTTAGTCTTTGCGATTACTATCTAAATACGCAATTCATTCGGAAGCTATATTACTGTTTCTTTTTTAATAAACAATCGGTTAAGCTTATGATGATTGGGATAAATATAATGTTTCTAAGTTTAATGGAAAAACATTGGAATCCCAATTATAATTTCTTAGATCCCATACTTTGAGAGCCGCAGATTTAATTAGCAGGCATAGATCTCTGTGAAGATATAGATTGTGTTATCGAAAGCCGACAGAGTCGCTGTAATAATAAAGCTAATCATGAAAGTTTTTTTAAATTCAAACGCAAACTGTCGCAAGCTGGGAGATTTCAATGAGTCTTAGTTTATAGAACTTTTAAGTATAGAAACGATTACTTAAGTAGGTGCAAACACTGGATTCATTAATGTTCTTAGTTAGCTTGTTAGTACTTAGTTCGGTTTGTCTTCAAAGCCTTTCATCTACTGGCTAGGTACCATTGGGTTGGACAAACCCTAACTTGTAGATACGAACGAAGTACAATTGTTCTCTAAAATTTCATAAAGTTCTGATGCTGACAAATACTTCGAGTATTAATGAAATATTTTACCAGTAGACTGTCAATTTTGTATATATAATTTTGTTATTTATCATTTTTTTTATCACTTTGTCTACGGATTTGAGATTTTTCGTTGGTAGGTAAGTAGTAGTGAGCTGTTATATGGATCACCTAGTCTTAATAGATTACTAAATCCCTAAAATCAGGACGTGTGCATGCACGAGAATCAAGTCTCAACGGTAATGTATGTATAACCACCGGAATTTAAACCGGAACGCATGACTGCTTCGAGGCAGAACTTGTCAGAATTATGGTACCTGCCAGTGAAGACTTTCAATAAGATATTTTTATTGCTTAGATGGGTGGACGAGCTCACGGCCCTCCTTCGGTGGTTACTGGGGATCATAGATATCGAGAATGTACAACAACAACGACCACGATACATGAGTTCTAAGTCTCAGTTTTATATGAAAATTACCACATGACTTTCATGCTTAAAAATGTAAGACTTCCACACTCAGAAATAACAACTTTTACGGCTTAAGCTCGCGTTTAATACTTTTATTTTATAACTTCCGACATTACGAATATAGTTTTCATGGACACGGTGTTTTTGTTTGTGAGTTTTTGAATATTGTAAATTTATAGGATTATTTTAACGAACTCTTTGAAATGTAAAGGATAAGTTATAGCAACTCGTGTCAAACTATTAACGTTCATTAAATTCGAAAATCTAATCTATCACTTTACACATTTATAATTTTATACTTTTTAAAAATTCACACAATTGATTGAAAACGAAACGAAATTATGTAAAATACATAATATATATACGTGCTAAATTCTACCCACGGAAGTGAGAACTCAGAACAAACTTACGAAGCGCAATGGAGGTTGCGCAGTAACGTGTGCTACCCTATATAGAGCCGGGGATAGTCGCCCCATTCACAAGTAACTCGGCGCCGGCGGGTAAACTTCGGTGCAAGATCTCTGGTCTAACTTAGAGTTACTAGCTCGAATTTATACGGCTACAAGTGGAAAAGTGTGAATATGAGGGCTTTTCTGTACATAGTCGTCGTTGCACTCGCTTCTGATGCGGTCCGCTGTTTATATTTACCGGTAAGTACGAACTTCCTGAATTCTAAAAGTTTTATTAACGGTTTTTGTGTTTAAAATCAAGTTTTAGACCTTAATCCATCAATTAACACACTAACGTCTATGACATTTGTTCTTTTTAGCATTTTACTACAACATAAAAAAATTCTATTAATAACCATCCAAAAACGTTTGGTATTTTTGCCGTGTTTCTCAATTAGAAATAAAACAATTCATTTGGTGTTCGATGAAAATTGATTAAGTTACACTTAAATAGATAACAATAAACTTAACTTCAAAAGTGAAGTTCTGGTATCTAAAAAACTAAAATAAATCTACCTAGCGTACCCACGGAATATTCGAAGCATTTTGTTTAATGGATTAAAATCCGTAGACGAGTGAGCGAGCTCGTACCTGCCTCAGCCACCTGGTTGCTGAAGCCGATAGAGCTATGGGAGTGCTGTCACCCACTTTGAAACATTAGGTCTAAGTCCCAATTGTAATTGAACGGTTGTTTCATGATAGAGTGGTGGTATCTACTCGTGCGAACTCGTTACAGTAAGCCTTACAGCCAATGAAATAAATTGTAAAAGTGAAATAAATAATTAAAATGAAATACAGAAATGATTTTGCTTTGAATAATTACGAATTTTTGCCAGTAGTTTTTTTTTTTTGGGTGATAACTCATGTTGCAAGCTCGCATGACTGATTATCACAATTCATTCATGTAACGCGAAGCAATTTCATACGTGCATATCGTTGTACGATTACAATGTAAAGCAATTTTTTTTTCTTTTTTTCACAATATGGAATCTATTTACTCAAGTAAGCGATTAACAAGATATAGATTTACTTTTCATTGACGATTTTAAAAAAAACGATTATATTACATTACACGTGATTTCAAAGGATGAGTTACTAGCCTTTTTTATATTATAAAAATCAAATTATTTCAAAACAGCTCCAAATATAGAATTAGATTTTTTAATAGTCAGTTGAAAGTATACTTGAATAGGTTGGCGTCATTAATTTGGCCAGTGATCGCTTCAGTTTTACAGCAGGTCGCTTGAAATCTTCAGGTTTACTGAGGGACTTTCTCAGTACAGTCCTCTACAGTACTCTCTACAGTTCTCTCTGAGCTTTAATTCGGATGTTCTGTAGGGTATGTTCTGAGGAATAGTTTGAGATGATCCCATCATTTCCTTTTCACCATCTCCGCAACCGTCACCGAAACAAAGTTCAGCCATAATACCTAGAACCACTACATCACAGTATATTTTCAGAGATCATTTTAGCCACTCATCATCTGACTCTGAACTTTTTCTTGACGCTCTTTCCAGAACGCTATGGTATGTCCTCCTTTAAATGTAGTATTAAAGGAGTCTTGAGCAATACGCAGCAGCATGGCACTGTTTCTTTCACGAGCGACAGGAATTGTTTTTTTTTTATTGCTTGAATGGGTGGAAGAGCTCACAGCTCACCGCATTACGCATTACTGCTTCACGGCAGAAATAGGCAGGGTGGTGGTACCTACCCACTCGGATTTACAAGAGGTCCTATCACCAGTAAAAACTTCCCCTTTAACTATCCTAATCGATCATGAAAACCGTGTTTAAGGCCGTTCAATATTTCGCAAGTAATAACGTGAAAATTGCCAGCTATTACTGAGTTCAAACACTTAAAATACAGAAGATGTATATTCTAAATAATAGATTTATCAAGTAATTCATCAAAATACCTACGAGTATTCAATGAACTTTTTGTAAATTACAATTCACTAAAGATAGTTTTATTTTAGGAGTCGCGCCTAGCCAAAATCTAAGACTACAATGTGTATCATCAACAAAAATTTATAACTATGAGAAATGAAGAGTGAATGAAATAAATAATTCAACAAAAACTATTTAATTATTGAACTTTGAAAATTACTGTGTAATCCAATAGCTTCAAGACACTTGCTAATAAGTTTTTTGATGGATTCCATCATAACTGGTTTTTTTTTTTATAAATTTAGAAATTGTAGAATTATCTAATGCTTCTTCAAAGCTGATATGACATTTTTCACTCTGGGATAACTTCCAGGAACTACGTGAAGTGATTCTAAAAGCTGCACGAACATAAACGACATTCGGATGTCTTTTTATTCCTTTTACATTGTTTCCTATCTCCCCTTGTATGAGCTATGAAAGTAGATTAGCATACGGCATACGGTCTACTTAATTGTGAGTGGTCGACGTTACTCATACATATCACCAATCTTAATAAATGTTCAAATCCGTTCAAACCATTAATCTAATAGTAATTTAATAGTAAGATAATATTTTTATCATAAGTATAAGAGAACTTGGTTAAAACTGCAGGAACCCATTATGCGAAGCGGTTAATCACGTCGAATACAGACGTGCTTGAAACAGCTTTGTGGTTTCATCTCGTACTTTAATAAGTTTTCTTATATGTTTGATATGTTCGATGTATGCATGATATATTCTGTGGTTAATCAATTTAATTTAACCTATTTCATTTAAGTACTAGCTGACCCGGCAGACTTCGTAGAGCCTCAATCGAAAAATAAAAGTCCTAAATTTTGTATAAAATTAACTTAAAACAAACAAAAGGATTCGTCCGACGGGGGACACGTCAAAGGACAAACAAAATTATTATTTTTATTTAAATCCGAGCACTTTCTTATTTATCTAACTTTTACACCTTCTCTGGACTTCCACAAATAATTCAAGACCAAAATTAACCAAATCGGCCCAGCCGTTCTCGAGTATTAGCGAGACTAACGAACAGCAATTCATTGTTATATACATACATTATATAGATTTTGATACTTAGTCGTTTCCTTTTTTATGATCAAATGTTTAGATCATTCATCCACCAATATTATAGTTCACATTAAGGTTCGATCATAATCATCATCATATTATTTTGCTTCTAATAAATGACTAATAATAGACGAATGATGTACGTAATTATTCCTCAATATGTAAGCAATGAAGCTACTTAAATTATATTATTAAGTATTTTTACAATAATACTTACTTGTTAAAAACACTAAAGATAAAGCTTGAACATAAAAATACCGCTTTTCCTATAATCTAAGTAACTTAGTTTTACAAAATTATCTAGGACCTGAAAGGACCTCTTGAGTTCAGAATAACTCATGTAACTATTTTTGGACAAAATTTATGGAACTCTTTCATAAATCGACATCAATTTGTTCTCTGATCTTGGTCGTGGGGTGGGCTTATTAGATCATGTAAAAGCCTCATATTTTGTATACCTTCGCATCGCATAAGCCCTAAGTGATTGGAGGGTCACAGCATTTTATTATTGAACGTATATGTACATACAAAAATAAGATATATAATATGTAAATAATTCGAATTCATTATTAATTCGATGTTTACTAGCTTCTTTGCCGGTCAGTTGAAGGTTTAAAATTTATTTTAAACAATACTACACTTTTGTAATTTTATTTATGTTATAAAATATATTAGTTAGAAACTTTAAATATTCAATTAACATTAGTCATTACTTTGGGTACAAATAATACTTTATGCTAAAGTATCTTTTTATTTCTTTCTATCGTATTTAAAGTTAATTTGATATTATGGTAGAAAAAGAGTGGTGTAGAGATGTACGTAAGTACATTGTTTTGCCAGCTGAAAAAATTATCATAAATTTTTAGTGACTTAAAACAGTTTTATGTTCTAATATTTCCCTGTATGAGTGTTTTAAAACAATAAGTAAGAAACCGACATGCTACATTTTAACTACTTTTTGTATGGGCGAAATGAAGGCTCTGGAACCGTCTCAGTACGGTAGCCCGTCAGGCCGCTCAGGCGGTACGAAGCAAGCAAGAAGGGTGGTCGTACCCCCTTACGGGGGCACGGAGTGGGACTCGGGGTAAACCTCACTGTCTGGGCAGAATCTCCCTGCCATGAAAGGCAGGGGTGAAATTGATGCTGGGGGGACATTGAGAGGGGGCTGCACGCAGCGTGCTCAGCACACCTACATCGACAAATATACATAAATAGAATACGATGGCTTGAATCCTGCCAGGAGTGACGCCCGGCAGCAAGCTCCCACCGGCGTCGTATTGTCGTCTGCTCCGGTTTTTTTTGGGGGTCCACCCAAGGGGGTGGTTAAAAAGGGTCCCCATAGGGGGCACCCCAACCATATTAGGGGAATGACGAGTGTGGACAGCTCAGTCCCATGGGGGCACTCATTATGAGCACTCCCATATCACTCCGATTAAGCCGACTGTCTTACCATAGCAGGGAGTTCTAGTAGCTCCCTTGGTAGCTCCCGACCATCAGGTGGTTTGGCGTGCAAGGGAGCTAAATTGCGAAGATGCTCGTGGGGTCCACCATCAGCCCGCTCGTAAAGATTACGAGCTAGCCTCCGGATGAACTCCTCGAGCGACTCCACATCCAGATTCCGGGCTATTACGTCATTTCTGACGTAACGCCCTGCAACTCAGGCGGTGTCATTGGTGTTCCGCTCGGTCAGAACCAACCTGCCGGGTTGGGACGCAACGCGCCGCTAACCAATCGCTCTTACGATGTTATTTCTTGGCGATGTGCTAGAGTGTACATTTTTAATTGTAACATTTCAAATTTTACAGGTTTTTTTTTAAGAGAATACTTTATTATATTTATGAGGTCTAAGTGGTATTCATATAGACAAAAAGGTGTCAACCGTTTTTTTTTTAACCGGAACACATGACTGCCCCGCTGTAAAATTTTAAAAGTTTTAAACCAGGCAAGTAAATTATATCGTCTATTGTTTCTGTTTAGCTGTAAAAGAACCATATCGTGGTTGGAGGCGTCCGTATCGGGGTCGGGGTGCAGTTGAAGTACCTCGGCCTCATTCTAGACAGTCGTTGGACCTTCCGTGCTCACTTTCAGAATCTGGTCCCTCGTTTGTTGGGGGTGGCCGGCGCGTTAAGCCGGCTCCTTCCCAATGTTGGGGGGCCTGACCAGGTGACGCGCCGTCTCTATACAGGGNTAGGCGGG